AAATTCGTCCATCAGACGCTGAAATGTTATGGGCGCATTCTTCAGACCAAACGGCATTCTGGTGAATTCATAATGCCCCCTTTCAAATGTAAACGCTGTTTTGTGTTGGTCTTCCGGGTGCATCCGTATTTGGTGATATCCCGCCTTGAGGTCCAACGTGCTAAAGACCACGGCCCCACTCAACCTATCGAGTATATCTTCGAATCTGGGGATCGGGTACTTCTCATCTACCGTGTTATCGTTCAATTTACGATAGTCTACTACCACCCTGTATTTTTCCTTATTATCCCCCGGCGCTGCCTTCTTTTTCACCGCCCACAGGGGACTATTGAATGGTGAGGTGCTATCAACTATGATCCCTTGTTCTTTTAGACTATCTAACTCCTCCCGAATATGCTGCCTCAACGCCTGCGGGTATCTTCTCTCTTTCACGTAAGTTACCCTATCCTGCTTCAGTGGGATTTCATGCACCGTCCTCCCTGTTACCCCCAATACCTCACCTTCCCTGAAGAAAATATCCCTAAACTCCTCCTGTAGCAACTTCCTCCAGTCCTCCACTCTGTTCACCGCTCCTATCCGCACCCTTCTTTCTCTCGCGACCCCTATACATCCGAACTTCCTCTTTCCCAGCCTAACACTCCAGGCTCCTCTACGGTTTCTAATGCTCGCCCCTACCTGCCCTAACAAATCGCACCCTACTATGACCTGGTATTCCCGAGTCATGTTTTTTACTACGTGTACCTTCAGTTCGCCCTCTTTTTCTGCCCACCGATCAAGCCTAATTGTCGCTTCCCCCTCTACACTACAGGGACCACCCAGAGTGATTAGCTGGCAGTCGCATTTTTGTATCCGGAGTACCCTCTCGCTCCCGCACACTTTCCCTAACGCCCCTCTGGTCATAATAGTGCTCGAGCTCCCGGTGTCCACGAGGCACTTTACTCCCCCGTCTACCTCGATAATTGGCAACCAGCATGGCTTACCTCGGATATTGTTGCATGTTGCTGTGCGGTCGCCTCTCTGCTGCCACACTCCTCAGATGCCGCCCCGCTTCCTCCTTACCGCCGCCGCTCGTCGCTGCTCGGTCCGTTGGCTGCTCCTGCCTCCTTCGCCTCCACTGCTGCCTGGTTCGTCCGTCTCTGTTCCCGAAGTTCCCGACTCCTCGGTTGCCTCCTCCGAAGATCCGTCCTTCCGCTGCATCCTAGCCCGTCTCGTCAACTTTTGCATGTTTACCTCCATCGGCTCGTCTTGAGGTCTTTCTCTCCTCCGAAATATGTATGGGCACTGCCTAGCAATATGCCCTTCGGTCCCGCACTCGAAACATCTAGTGCGCGGACATTGTGCTACTAAATGTCCTGGCTTTCCACACCCATGACATTTCCTGTCTTCCCTGCGGGGTCCATTCCTCGGCCTCGCCTGTCCGGATCTTTTTTCACCCATCCTGACCTTTTCTCCGCTCGGCTGTATCGTTTCCCTCTTCTTCCAACCCATCGGGGCTGTCCGGGGTCGTCTGTCATTCACCCGGATCCACCCTGGTTCTTCCACGTCCATCCGAGTCTCTTCTTCCCTTGCGCTTAGGTCGATCATTTCCTGGGCACACTCGAGGAATGATCTCTCCCTGGGCAATCCGTCTCTCCTCCCCGTTTCCTTAGCCAGCTGGACCTTGAGTATCGTCGAAAGGAACTCCATCCTGGCTTCGACCTCTCCCACACTCATTGTTTCGCGCATTTTCTCCGTTATGCGGTTGTACTTTGCCACTAGTACCCCCGCATACTGTCCCCTCGTCTGACGTTGGGACCGGCGCTCCCTAAACATTTGGAAGATGTCTTCCTCCGGCGTCCATCTGCCTCCTCCGAAGGCCTTCTTCAGTCGCTCCTTAATCACCGGCCATGGTGTCTCCTCATCCGCCTGAATTTGGTTCAGGATGTTCCTCCTTACGCGGCACACCAGAGCTGCTTTCAATGCTTCCGCGTCCCCTAGGTTTACCAGGTCCTCCGCCACCTTTACCTCTATTCTTGACATGAGGCGGTCTCCGCCTTTCAGGAAATGGTTAAGCTCCCCTACCTCGCCACCGAAGCGTTCCAGGTCCGCAATGGCTCTCCGTAAGTCCTGCGTGGTCGCCGCTCTTATCTTCATCCATTCTAGCGCGTTAGCGTGCGCTTCTGCCAATGTGTCCCTCGGTAAGGGAGGGATCTCCTGGATCTGCGGAATCTGCGGTACCTGAGGTATTTGAGGTATCTGAGGAACCTGAGGGGCCTGCGTGATCTGAGGTATCTGCGGAATTTCTTGAGGTTGAGGGATTTCCGGGGCGCTTAACACTCCCGGCCTGATTAAGCCCTCTGTTGGCATCTCACTCTTTCCTTATGACTAGGAGAAGAAAAAAAACGAGAGAGAAAAAAAATGAATTTAAAAAAAAATTACTTCTCTGTTCTCCTGACGTAGTCCCGGGTTTCGGCACCAGTTAAGCGTCGGCGGACTATAACAATAAAAAAAAAGAAAGGAAAGGGGTTGAGATGCAACACTCACGGTTTCTGAATATACACTGCTTTATTCATTTAGTAATCCTCCTTATATACATTTCATATGTTTATTTACATTCAGGACGGCATTAAGGCTGATATCGCCGGTCTCCGGTCTTTATCTTATATATATATATATATATATATTTTTTTTTTTTTTTTTTTTATTTTAGTAATAGTAAGTGTACGAAGAGTATCCGTAAACTGGTGACGGGTGAGTTAAGGTACGGAGCGGACCAGTATTAGCAATAATACCAAAACACTGATGTAAACATTCTCAGGATATATGTAGAGGATTAGAAGGAACAATAAAGCAGTCTTGATTCAAGATATATATATATATATATATATATATATATATATATATATATATATATATATATATATATATATATATATATACACTGGCAGGCAAAAAATTCCACCCACTTGATTTTTTCATGTTTTCATCTAAAAATGTTTTAAAAAATATTTAATATTATAAAAATATTTCTGCTTTGGATTGGTCTATTGTTTTTAATGAATAAATAGGTAATCTTTTTGTTTGTTTTCAATTAGGAATGTTAATATAGAGGACAATAACCCTTAATCCTTAATTCAATGAATGATTCTAGATTCCAAGATTCCAAAACGAACCATTATTATTCTAAAAGAAATTAATTACATCATCGTTTAGTAGCGCGTGTTTCCTCCTCTTGCCTTCACTACTTCTTGAAGACGCCTCGGCATACTTTCCACAAGTCGGGAAATGTCCCTTTGCTGGAGGATAGCCCATTCCTCCCGAAGAGCCCTTTCAAGGTCCTGCAGTGTATCAGGAAGTGTTTCACGCGCTCTTATTCGTCTTCCGAGGTTATCCCATAAATGCTCAATGGGGTTCAAATCTGGAGAACGTGCTGGCCAGGCTAAAACCTCAATATTGTTCTGTTGAAGGAACGTCTGCACTATGCGGGCGACATGTGGGAGTGCATTATCGTGCATTAGAATAGAACGATCGCCGATTTCGTTGAGGATAGGCAACACATGAGGTTCCAAAATCTCATCTACATAGCGAATGGCCGTCAAAGACCCTCCACGAACAACAACCAATTCTGTGCGGCGCTCCATTGAAATCCCAGCCCACACCATTAAGGAACCACGTTGGAAAGGTTGGCTCTGGAAAAAATTACAGGCTGCATATCTTTCGTTTCTTCTTCTCCACACCCTTTCACGCCCGTCTGGAGATCGAAGAGCGAATCTTGACTCATCTGTAAAAAGTACAACACTCCATTCGTCCATAGTCCAATGGCTGTGTTCTCGAGCAAAAGCCAGCCGTGTTACTCTGTGAGTTCTGGTCAACTCTGGTCCTCTTACTGGACGAAAAGCCATTAATCCATACTCATTTAATCTTCTCCGAGCGGTACGTTCAGAAATTTGCACACCTCGAACTTCTTCGAGCTGATGAATCGCTTGAACAACGGTAAGGTGCCGGTTTCGTAAAATTCTCAAAGTCAAAAACCGGTCATCCCGTGGTTCTGTTACCCTAGGCCGTCCAGAACCGGGCCTATTGTAAGAACCAGTCTCCCGAAAACGCCTGACCGCGTCTCGTAAAGTTTCATATGGAACTCCGATGGCATTAGCTGCATATCTAATGGAACGTCCATCATCAATAAGTGCCACACCACGCGCAACATCCTCAGCACTAAGAGGCATTTTTAAACTTAATATTGAAAAAATTAAAAGCCGGAGACTAAGAAATGTGCTGCAAGAAACGGCACTGAACTAATGATACTGAATAAACATTTTGATTCCATAGAAAGTAAACATTGGAATCTAGAATCATTTCATTGAATTAAGGATTAAGGGTTATTGTCCTCTATGTTAACATTCCTAATTGAAAACAAACAAAAAGATTACCTATTTATTCATTAAAAACAATAGACCAATCCAAAGCAGAAATATTTTTAGATGAAAACATGAAAAAATCAAGTGGGTGGAATTTTTTGCCTGTCAGTTTATATATATATATATATATATATATATATATATATATATATATATATATATATATATATATATATATATTCATTCATTCATTCATTTATTGTTCCTACGTATTCCCTTGTTTTTTTTCTTTACATTGGTATATAAATTAGCAGAATATCACGTGCCTGTGCGGCAATTAAAGCCACAGTTGGAATAATAATAAAATATCCATTGTTAGAGTTTTTCCACCTGGATTGGTCATTCATTCCACTGTGCGGCGGCAGTTTTCCAGCTTTCTGGAAAGTAATTCATATGAAGAAAAAAAAATTACAACTTTAAATCCATCTCTTTGATAATTGTAAATTAGGAGTAATTATATTATTAAAATATTTATATTAGCTCAAATTAATAAAGTAGCTATGACTAAAATATTCGTGCTAACAATTAGCTCTTTGGTTTGGACCTATTTCTGCCTTGCCGCCATCTACTATCGATTATGTCAAATCAAACAGTGTGTATTGACACTAATATTCAAACCGGTCTCTTTGAGTTTGAGATGTAGTTTTTGCCTGACACTAAGTTTAACAAAAAAAATGGCTGATAATACTAATATTTCCATGGAAATTGTTAATAAACTGTTTGGAGACAAAATAAATATTAAAAATCTTACAGACTGGCTTATCAATATTAAACATTGTGCTCAATACTACGGATTAATCGAAGTAAGTGTCAAACATTAAATAAAAGAAGTAATATACTATATAATCAAAGCTGTTGATTTATTTCCCAATTTTATTTAGTATTTTTCAATTTATATCTTATTGGACATTATTGGGTTATTATTAATCAAGTTCATTATTATTACTTTCGAATTTCACACTTTCTTGGCTTTTGCCAGAATTATTCAACCCTGACCGTTCAAGGACTTAGGACCGTGGCCAAGGGTTAGGCTCAAAATTTTAACTATATTTAAAAACTTCCTGACGATGTTCACTGTTTCTAGGAGAACTGGTTTTTGCCCTTCCAACACTCTGGCAGTTTCAAATTCTGACAGAGCGAATGGTATCGTCTGGGATGAAGCCATTGCTGGAAATTACAATTGTATGTACCTGTACTTAATTCAGTCTTTAAAGTTGCCGAAGCTCTTGGCACAAATCTTGATATTTCCTAATCTTTTCAAAAATAGCCTCTGATATTATCATCAGTTGGGTCCGCTATATCAATGACATACCCACTTTGTGTCTTCTGATCAATTAGTACTATGCCCAGTTTGTTATTTACTACCATCTGGTCTGTAATTACAGCTCGATCCCAATATATTATTCTATTTTCTTTTGACAGCACCGGTTTGGGCTTTTATCGATAATAAGGAACCTCGTCTGTTGTCATGTTATTTTATGAGGCCGGTACTTGGTGAACAATTTTAGCCAGGTTATTGTGTATCGTCAGATGTTCTTTACCTGCCAGCGCTTGACATACCGACGAAATATGCTGGATTGACTCTATTGTATTTTTACATAGGCGACATCGTTCACTTACTTCTCCTCACATATATTTTTTGTAAGCATTGGTGGATACTTCCTGGTTTTATATTACCAAAGTAAATCCTTTGTTTTCGGGAAATAAGTATCCTTTCTTAAGCCATTTATTAGAGGCCTCCCAGTTAATTCCCGATTGAGATAAAGCATTGTAAAAGCCTTGACTATATAGTGCTTTACTCTTCAAACTTTAGATCACATTTTCTTCGGTAGGGACTTCTTTATGTTCCTTTGAAATTAAGTTTAAAGCTGTGTGGGCACTATTCATTGATTTTATTGCTGACCATACTGGTGGGTTTCTTTGTTGGAAAGTGTACCTTAAATTGATTTTTTGTCTGTTTTGTACATGTTTAGTACTTCTATGTATCACTTGTGAGAAACTGAATTGTACGCCTTTTGGTAATTGATCCAAGCAATAGAAGAATTTCACTTTTTCTTCGATATCTGGGAAGCTATGAACGAATCTAATACCAGCAGTTCGTTACGTCCTTAGGCATCCTTCTTTCATCCTAATTGTTCTTTTGTCATGATGTTAAACTTGTTGCCATGGTCCGATATTTTACAACTGATCACAGACTTAAGCAGATAGAGAGCTATTTTTCTTTCTAGATGGACTTCTTTATAATCTGCCTTAAAGTGAAGATATACAATTTAAATTATCTCTAAGAATAAGTAAATATACAAAACAAAGTGTTAAATTGCAAACATTAAATAAGAAAAACAAGATAAACAGCAAAGTATTTTTTAATTAAGTTTTATTATAATTATATCATTTTTACAATAGATGTTTACTTAAACGACTGCCGTATAGAATAAAGTAAGTTAAATAAAAAAATAAAATAAAATAATAAATTTTAAAAAATTGTTTAATTTTATTTGACAATTAAATGATTGCATTAATAATTGTTTGTTAATAAAACCAATATAATGTACCAAAAACGTTATTATATCACTATAACTAAGCCATTTATGTGTACAGAATGTTGTGGTAGAGGCTTGTAGGCACCTACGCAGGCACCACTTTTCTCCTGCATAAGTGCATTTTCTACGGAACTGCTTCAAATATTTTAAAAGTAATCAGTGTTTTAGAAAGAAAAATATATTCTCCAGATGTTTTATTTCAGCACATTTTGCGTTATTGTTTGCCGTTTACTTACAAACAATGCTTTATTTTCAACTTGAAAATTATTTTGTTAAAATTTTTGACTTTACTGGTGTTTTTTATTGTCTAAGCCAATTATTTTTTAATATTTGTTCATGTTTTATTATTCTCTGACTGTTCAGCTTTAATAAAAGACCAACCATGAGGAAATTAAGCCAAGTGCTGATTCTCAGTGACCAAAAAACTAACTGAAGTCAAAGTCGTCAATCCGCCATTTTGGGGCTGTGCATTCACTTTTTTTTGTAGGAACATGACTTTTTTTAAATAAATAGTTACAAGGAACACAACGATATGCAATTTATATGGATGGGGGGAGGGTGCACGATAGGGGGTCTGGCCCACCCTGTATTGTCACAATGTTCTAGAAATGGTGTGTGTAGCGTCCAATTATAACATGAGATGGTGTCATGTAATGATTAGAATCTGAATGTCTTGATGCACCTTAAGAAGTATAATTTGTTTATTTTATTACATTAGGGGTCGTAAGTAAGATTGATGAATAATGATAGTTACTACTTCTTTTTCTGTTACTATTGGCTTCAAGACCAAGGTATTTGTATTATTCTGACCTTTAAAATTCATCGTTATGTTTCGGTTTTCTTTGTTTTATTATTTAATGTATGAATCATTTTGGAGTATAATTTTTAATTTTATGAATAAAATCTGTTTACAATCCATGAAGGGTCTTGTTTTGCGTAGATAAACAGGAAGTACTGTTTCTAAGCCAACTGTTGTGCAGGGAGGGAGGTGATTCAGCCCAGAATCACAATCAACCACTAGTTTTCCCCTTAATCAATTTTAAGAATCTGTATGAAATTCGATTTTTTTCCCAAAGTTATGTCATTAGTTTATTTCTTACTGGTTGTTGGGCAGAGTGGCCGAATGGGTTAACGATTGTGCACAGCACTGCCATTGTCTGGCAACCTGATATATGAGACTTATTGATGTAAAATAGTCATGAGTTCGTGTCCCTGTACCAGAGGTCTTTTAAATCCCCGCCCACACCCCCTGGCCTGGGAAAACCCCGTGTAGCCTTAAAGGCAAGGAAGGGGAAGAACCCCTCCCCTCCAAAAAAAAATAAATAAATAAAAATGTTTATTTCTTGAAAAAGAAGAAGGAAAATAAATTTTATTCTTTGACATTTAGTCTCCTTAAAATAATTATAATGTACAAAAAGATGAAGATTGTATGGCATTATAAAAATAAAAAATAAGAAAAATTTTAGCTAACACAACATAATAATTTGGCTTTCTATACTAAAACATCAGAACTCAGCGACCTTCCTATAGTTTTCTCAGCCTACAAATTAAATATTCCATTTAATCCCGCCCCACTAGATCTCATACTTCCTACCTATCCACCTCCTCACCGAACTGCTGCGTTTGACAACTCTCTTATAATTCAAGCCATCTCCTTCAGGAATACAATCCCTCCCGATATCCAACATGTACAATCAGTTTCCTCATTTAAAACCCTCCTTTTTAAGCACCTACTCCTTCCCCAACCCGATTGATCATGAAATGTAGATAAGAGAACTTTTTAAAGTTTCCCTAGAAATGATTTTGTTTACTTTTGTTATTTTATTTTCCCATGTTTGTATTATACATATCTGTTTTTTTTTAAGTGTTATTGTTTTATTTTTTGTTTTATTCTTTTTCCAATATTTTAATTTTAAATATTTAATTTAATGTATGGCCACACAGGCATTTTTTCTGTATCTATAATTTCTCCTAAAGGGACAACAGTCCCAGGATAATAAAAAAATATTTTCATTTTTCATTTTCAAATAATCTATCCTTGTAATTTAAGGTATGTAAGTAAGAATATTTGTTTCAGTGATTTATTCTCCCAAAATCATTCCACTCAATTACATCAGAATGTTTCGGAATCCACTTTTATATCCCATCTTCAGACTAGAAATTACAACATTGTCGATATAAAAAATTATATACAAACAATACAGTATTTATTAATATAACTTTAAACAACAATAATTTAATTATTCTCCATAAGACTTGTCATATTATATTATTTTTTTATTATTGTCCTACTCCTAAAATGCAGTAATTTTATTATTTATTTAATTACTAGCTGATCTACCCGACGTTGAAGGGTTTATAGTTAAAATTTTAGAATCTTTATTTTAGATGGATTTTGTACTATGGGGAAAGGAGGGTCCAAATTCAATTTCATAAAATTGGGTCAGGAGGAGAGAGGGGGATTGTTTTGGAATTTGTTTTGGCGGGGCTTATGGAAGTCAAGGTTTCACAATAGTCATACCAAAAACTATGTCATTCGGCTATTTGTTTAGGTACCACACAACTAAACTGACCACCACCAATCCATTAATATTTGTTAAGTGTTTAATTTTCATTTATGATGAAGTGAGGAGATTGTGGAGTCGATTAATTAATCTAAAATAGTTGTAGTCTCTCCACTTCTTTAAACTTTATGAGTTTATTGCTGGAAAAATAACATTGGACATTGAATCACCTACTTCTGTGTAAAATTAGAACTTGATCTGAATATTGTGGCGGGTGGGATGAATTTTTTGGAGTTTTTTCCCCTGATTTCCGGTTAATCCGTTTAGTTAATCCTAAAAATGTTTACAACAATATTTGTTAGACTCAGAAAGCTGAATTAAATGACACCTTGAACGGAAAGATCAGACAAAGTTGAAAAATGAGTGTGTTTTACCCGTTTTATGCGCCCACGTGTTACAGATGTTCGGTATTCCGGATTTTTTCCGTTGAGTTGTGATAATTTTTTCCATCAGTTGAGTAGTACAACTTTTAAATGTGACTCGCGGTAGAGTAGGTTGGGATTAGAATCGAAGTAACTGCCTAACCGGGATCTCTAAACAAATTACTCAAGAATTCATAACTTTGGTTCAATTTAATATTTTGATTTCATTTAAAGCCTATGTTTTAAGTCAAGCAAACCTTAGTATAATGTTAAAATTTCAAAAGTCTACAATAAGCCATTGCTGAGCTTACCTCTGACAAAACTTTGTTGCAATGTGGACATACAGACAGACAACAAATTTTTTAAAAGTGAATTTGGTGTCTGCAATGTATGAAACGGAAAGATATCATAAAACGGGTTGATTCTATTCAATGTACAGACAAAATCTTTATTTTATTTATATAGATTATTATTATTATATGTATTCAACTATTTTCGATGTTGAATATATTACCTTGAAATCATATATTAGTCTCCTCTAGGGAGGGCCTAGTCAGATACTGAAATAAAACTTTGAGCAAGGGGTCAAACTCCAATTCTTTTATTTATTTTCATATATCTAATTTGTTTATTAGATAGGCATAGTGACACCCTAACCCTAATTGGACTTAGGTAATTATTTATCTTGTTTTGATTGATGAAATAATTACCTAAATCCGATGAAGGATAAAATAAATAAATTGAAACAAAAATGCAAAGTGGATTGTTATAATTTAGAAGCGACATACATTGGTGAAACAAGACAAAACATGGAAAAAAGGATGAATCAGCATCTTAATGATACAAGAAATAGTAAAACAGCCTTAGCCCATCATAGTATTACTAACAGACATAATTTCAACTTAGCACAACCACAAATATTATATAAGGGAACACACAGAATACATAGAAAAGTAATAGAGTCGATATTCATTATTAAACATAATAAAACAGCTATTAATTTTAAAACTGGTGCGGCTAAAATAGAGAGTCACTATGCCTATCTAATAAACAAATTAGATATATAAAAATAAATAAAAGAATTAAAGTTTGACCCCTTGCTCAAAGTTACTTTCAGTATCTGACTAGGCTCTCCCAAGAGGAGACTAAAATATGATTTCAAGGTAATATATTCAACATTGAAAATAGTTAAATACATATAATAATAGTAATAATTAAATAAATAATAAAATTACTGCATTTTAGGAATAGGACAATAATAAAAAAATAATATAATATGACAAGTCTTATGGAGAATAATTAAATTATTGTTGTTTAAATTTATATTAATAAATGCTGTATTGTTTGTATATAGTTGTTTATAGCGATAATGTTGTAATTTCTAGTCTGAAGACGGGATATAAAAGTGGATTCTGAAACATAATGATGTAATTGAGTGGAATGATTTTGGGAGAATAAATCACTGAAACAAATATTCTTACATATATAGCTCAAAAATAAGTACCTCCCTTAGGATAAATGAAGAACTTATAATTCAAATAAATTAAGTACAAGTATACATATTGATAAACACATTTTGATTAATAGAATTGATAATATGTATGTAATAGTAACATAACAGTCAAATGATAGTGACAGCTCTTTAATACGAAATTTTATCCTTGCATGTATTCGGAAGATTGATTGCTTAGGAGGTGAAAGAATAAATATTTCATACTTACTTAAAAAAGACAACTATTTCTTACTTAATTTCACAATCATGTTTTAAATTATTTGCAGGAAAGTGAAGAATTATCACAATTTCAGTTTATAGCATGGTTCTTGAATGACTTAAGAATAAAAGCAAGGTAAGTATTTTTAATATTATGAATTTTTACATAACATTATAACTATTTTAGTGGAAAGAAATGCATTAGTCACATTCTGTATTGACTTACCATTTTTTTACTTGCATCCTCTTGGATAGCCCCTATTTCCTAAGGCACCAGGCAAAATTTCCTGGCCTATGCTTTTGTTGAGGTTATTGTAATAGCGCCTAAGTCTATCTTCTTTTGGATGAGTTAGCGTTATACATTACAGTCTTATCGATTATATTTCACACAAATTCTTATTTCGAATATGTTAATTTGAATAATATTGGGTTGGGGAAAAAGTAATTAAGTTTTTTTTTGTTATTCAAAACAAATTTATTTAAATAAATTTCAAACAGTAACCTATTATATATATGCCATTTTGATCGATGACCTTTTGCCACTTTTCTGGTAAAACTATAAGTCCGTCACCATAGAAGTTCTGAGATTTCTGGGAATAAAACTGAACCAAGTAATTTTTACAATCCTCTTTTGATGCTACCTTTACACCTTTAAGAGAGTTCTGCAGAGACCAAAACAAATAGTAGTCTGACGGGGCAATGTCCCATCTTTGCCATGGAACATTAAAGGTGGGTGTGTGGTCTACGTTATTGTGATGGGGGACAACTATTTTCCTATTGATCAATTCTGGCCATTTTTCTTGAATCAACTAGTTCAATCACACTAGTCCTTCACAGTAGAGAGTTGAATTAATGGTTTGACTTGGTTCGAGCTACTCATGATGAACAATTCCTTTCTAATTCCCAAACAACTCTGCATCACCTTCGTTGGCATCAATCTGGGCTTTGCCACAGTTTGACAGGCTTCTCCAGGCTGGAACCACTATCTTCTATGCACATTATTGTTGTACCTGATCCGCTTTTCCTCACCCATAATCATTTGCTCCAAAAATGAAAACTCAATCCATTAATTTTTTCACTGTTAATTCATGTGAAACCCAAGTATCGAGCTTCTTTTGGTATCCAGCCTTATTTAAATGGTTCACAGCTGTTTTCTGATCATGTTTTATTCCCTAGCAATGTCCATTAATTTGTGTGTGTATGTGTAGACACATATATTTCATCTCACAAATAAATTTTATAGATTTTTTGAAGAATTTCATAGTCTTTTTCTCTGATTGTCCGTCCAGGGCGATGTTATGTTACTCTGCTTTATTTCCAAATTTTGATACTTGTGACTCTAAAAAACAATAATTTTGTAATTATAACCAGTTATTAAAAAAATATCTTGGGATGAAAAATGTATTGAATAATAAACAATACTGTGCTAGATTACTTCTAAATTCTATTGGATCAAGCAATTTTAATGTAGTTAACCGAGTTATCCTATTATGACCTTTGATGTTGACACCGACCTATAATTGACCTATTATGACACCGAACCAAAGGCCTCTCACGTGGAACTCTCTCGTCCCGAAACTCTCGCAGAACTTTTCACTTTTCAGGGATGCATTTCTCATATGTCTGTTTTTTCTCCCTTTCGATTTTTCCTTCCTGATCGAGGTCGTTGGTCTCATATCTCACGGTTGGATCCAAAATCATCGCCGACTTTCCCGTCTTAGGGAATGCTACAATGTCGGCATATCGGGTGGATCCATCCGTATCTATACAATATACTTCCTCGAAACAGGCGTAATCTCTCTCTTTAAGGAGCCTCATCAGTTCATGTTTAACTCTGTGGTGACAGCGCGTTATAAGGAGGAAGTTGTTGGGGCATTTTCCAAGCACATGTGCTGGTGTTTCTGGCTCTCTGTCGCATTTGCGACAGAGGGACCCAACTTCTCTTACCTGTCCGCTGACACCTGGGACTCTACGCAGGGGTGCATAGTTAATATTTAGTTTTAGGGCATTTGACCATTCAGACCTAGAAAGTACTTGCTTATCGTACATGTATTTATTGGCTTTCGGGGTTCTTTAAAATGGCGAACTCCAATGCCCTGCCATCTGCAATTGGTCCATTCCTCAAACGAATTTTCTCGAAGCGACTGCCGTAGAGCACTCATATTCCGAATACCGTGATCAACCCCCAATCTCTCGGCACATTCATCAACCTCAGCCGAATAATCAAAGATCGACTGAAAAAGGGCATCGGACACATTGGACAGCCGCTGAGCAATGGACCAATGTTGTAGAGGAGCCTCCCATTGGCAGCGGATTAATCCTAATCCTCGATACCTCCTGGGAAAGTACAACATCGCTGTGGAAGTGTTCGCAGGGAGTCCAATAATAGCCTTCACACTCCTGCGAATCATGATGTCGATGCCGTCAAGTATGGCAGGACACAGCTTTGTGAGGGGCGCAGTTTGGAGAGGGTAAGTGAGACCCGGGAACAGATATTGATTGACAATGTTTAGCTTCTGCTCCGGCTTCAGCAAGGGAGAGGTTACCAGTTCATTCAGATTTTCATTCAATTTAGTCACCGAATCTTCGTTGAACTGTAGCTCTCCCGAGAATGTACATCCTAAATACTTGATTGTATCCCCGATCTGCAATGTTTGGATGTAACTCCGTTCTCAAGGGAGAGCATCGCTGTTTCCAGCTCTCCTTTATTTAGAACGATGCCCACGCTTTTTTGAGGATTAATTGCCCAGCCAATTTCCTCAAACGTCCTCTGAACGCTGCCGATCACTCTTTCTGCAGCCCCCTTGTCACGCGCTGACCCGGCCTGGTCATCTGCGAAACCTGTGAGGACTACATGACCTTGGTCGCTTTTTAACTTATATCCAAATTTCTTTGAAAATTCTTCATCGCACAGGTCGTGATAGAGATGGCCAGGTTGAAGAGCGACGACGACATGGGGCCGCCTTGGGGTACTCCGCTCAGCACTTTGATTTGGCTAGTTGGCGTGAACACCGTTACTAATTTTGATTGTGTTCGTGCAGAGGAGAGCTGATATAACGTGTTTAAGATCCGGCGACACACCTCTTGCTTCTAAGGAGCTAACTATATGATTGTGGCCAACATTGTCAAAAGCACCGACAACGTCAAGGAATACTACCTCACAATCATTTTTCATAATCTTTGCATGTTTCAATATAGCGTCGATAATCCTTGCGTTGACGTGCGTTCCCGGGAGGCCTTTTATAAAGCCTCTCTGATTTCTGTGGAAGGTGACCTGTTTTCTTAATTCGTGGTCCAGAACCTTCTCTATGATTCGGCGCACAATAGAGTATATGGTGATAGATCTCCAAGTAGAAATATTGTTTATATCACCTTTACCTTTATATATTAATATTGTGCGCCCTTGTCAAAGTGGTTCTGGGACATAGGCCACCTTCAGCATTATCTCTGCAATTGTCTGATAATATTTGCAACATCAAAATCTTTAATCGTGCGGATCAGAACTCCATCAGGCCCCAGCGATGTGTCCATTGATGTTGATTTAATGGCTTTCTTGACGGTTTCTAGACTATACACTAAATTTGGCATCGGGGCACACTGCTCGTAATCCGCACGCCTGCAGGGATTTTCACTCTCAAAGAGGTCTTTATAATGTTTTTCGATATCAGCCATCTTTAGAGGACACCTCTTAGGAGCGTTGGCATTCATTACAGTTTGCACAACCTTTTTTCTTTTATTATAGTAATTATACTGTGCAACCTCGTATTGATACTGCTCCTGCCGACGACTCCTGTCTACCTTGTTCGCTCTTTGCAGATTTGAGACTTGTCCAGCACCCTTGTCAGCCACTTTTATTTTATTTTTTTTCTCATCCTGTAAAATTTAACGGCTGGGTGCTGGGGACATGGCAGTTCCGCATTAATGTTCTTGAGAAAATTCAGGAACTTGCCTATGGCCTCATCAAAATCCGCAATATTCATTATGTTTTCTTTTAAGAGATTCTTGAACACGGTAGACCATCCAATAATGTCCTCTTTTATTTTTGATACCTCACGCTCTCCATTTTTAGGACCTATAACATTTTTCACTATGCCCCTCAGTGTATTGGTGTTAGCCTCCCTGGGGTGCTTTTTTGTAATATGGGTTCCAAGACCTCTTTCATCCTTAAAAGAAAGCCCACATATGGGACAAACTTTATTATCAGGGCGTAGAACTTCTTCCTCCTGCTCTCTGTTCGCCCCTGCGACATTCTGCAGAACATTTGGCAATGCGAACAAGACATCATCAATTGAAACTGTCTTTCCCAATAGTACACCTTCTGTGTCTGCTCTCTTATTAAAATAAAAAATAAATATATATATATATATATATATATATATATATATATATATATATATATACACATATCAGCTTTGTCAATTGATTTATTTATTATTTATTCAGTGGACGTGGGTATGTGTATTTAATTTAATTTAATTTTTAACAATATATTTTAAATTGGTTTTATTCATTAACTTATTTATAAATCTATTATTATTTAAATTGGATTTTATTGATTGTATATTTTAACTTGTTCTCAATTGTTAACTTATTATCTATCTTTTATTGTTTAATTCAGATTATATTAATTGTATATTTTAATTTGCTTTTAAGAAATTGATTTTATAGATTTTAACTTTTTACCATTACTTATTTGATATATTTTAACTTAATTTTAAGCAATAGATTCTCTAGATTTTAACTTCATTTTATATTTTAGCTTAGTTTTAAGATTGAATTTAACGTATTGATTAACTTTTTATAGTATAACTCGGTTTCTATTGATTTTAAATTTTAGGTTATTTTACCATTATTTATTTGATATATTTTAACTTGATTTTATGGAATATATCCCATAGATTTTAGCTTCATTTTATATTTTAGCTTAATTTTAAGATTGATTTTAACTTATTAATTAACTTTTTTTTTTTTTTTAGTATAACTTGGATTCTATTGATTTTATATTTTAAGTTATTTTTTAGCAATTGATTTTATAGATTTCAATTGTTTTTTAGCTTTATACATTTACATTTTAACTCTTTTTAAACATATTTATCTGATACTTAAATGTTTATGTTGGCATATATGCATGTCTCTCCTGTTTAGTTTTTATTTATTTATATACAGGTGTACATGGTCTTGAATAAAGAGATTGTATTTTGAATGGACCTAAAAATAATGAGAAAAATCGAAATTGGCCAGAGATTATGGGTTCCGGGTTCCAGGTTAAAGGAAATCAGCATCCGGGAACAACTTTTGCAGCACTGCAGACTTTTATAAAATTGTCTCAAAGGCTATTGCCCTGGAGTCTTCCAATATTGACTCAAAAGTTCTAGCTCAAAAGCTGTCAACCATAATCGACATCAACAAGATCGATGCTAAATATAAAAGTCATTCAAGTTCAAGCAACCATTCAAAAACCAGTAGAAATCAAAACAAAGTTGTATAGATCTCATTCTAGGTCAAATATTATCAGGAAAAGATTTTTCCTAAGTCTTAACTGGTTGAAATTGAAGAGATTATTCAATTTCAACCAGTTAGGACTTGATGGTGTATGTCTAAGGTGTGGAAGGACAATCATACATCAAGAGAATGTTGCGCTTCTTACCTGAAATGTTCAACCTGAAAGAGGAGCACATTTCAAAAGTGTTTATCCAAACTAGGATCAAGAAAATTACCTCCCAGAGTTCATTATCAAATCAAATCATGTATCATGAAACACTACATGAATACTGAGTACAGAAAATTGAAGAATTGTCAACTCTTCCAATCAATAATATTAAAGAAAAATATTATGTCACTGTGAATGTTGAAGTTCATCCAACAAGATTTGATGTTGATTCAGGTGCCCCTATTACCTGCATACCAAGACATCAATACAACTATATGATGTTGAACCTGCCTATGATACCAGCACCTCAACTCCATTTGTTTTTTCCTTTTACCTCTCCTAATCAGCAGTTTATTATAACCTTCCTCTACTATGTAACCTTCAGTTTCCTTCAGTATGTATTTTGATGGCTTGGTGAGATGTAAATCGCAAGTTTTTTTTCTTCTGATGATGCTTAAATTGGTTGGTGGAACGTTAGCAAGCAGTTATATACTTGGTGTCAGTAAATAGATAATGAAATGTTGCACAGTATCTAAATACTCAGGTGCTTGCGTATTACTGCAGTGATATTAGAGACATATATTGACATATTCAAGTAGATTAGTGTAGGTTTTGTATTATAAATAAGTAACTACCGCTTTGCTCTTCAAAAACACCAATTATCTACGTTTAAAAAAAAAAAAAAAAAACTAACTTGTTCTCAGAAAAAGTCACAATTTATTATGTTAGTAGGAATAGTGAGTGGTAGTTCATCCATTTTAATATTTTGAATTTTTTTTTTCTAAAATTCAAGTTATGATATGTTTATAAAAATTTATCGATGGTTGTACAACACATGTTTACCATCCTCTAGACCATACGAGACTAGAAATATGCTTTCCTGTCCACAAAGACATCATACTGCATAGAAAAAATAACCGTCAAGGAAGATTTGTTCATCATACCAGAGCATTATGTTGCTATTTAAGGAAGATCTTGGATAGGGCAAATGAAATTAACTTCAGGAAATCGATCAGCATACTATTAAACCATCAATTCAAGATCTAGAAACCATCGACCATGATGATGTATCACACAATTTTCTGATGTCTTTGAGATGAAAATAGGTTGCATCCTCAACTTCAAAGTGCCTCTGCCTCGATGAGAAGGAGTTACACCAGTATTCTATCGTGAGCGTGATATATGGAAATATGCACCACGGGAGTCAGCACAACTAAGTGTGGGAGATTGCATATTGGCTCGCTATTATGGGAGCGGAAAGCCTGCCTGGGACAGTTTTATGGCCAATCGGCCAACTGATTCAGATAGATAGAAAATAACTTTATTCTGGGACTAAGGTCCTTCAGAATAACAATAAAAATTTAATTATTTTTTTATATTAATGTATTCTGAATTTGCTCTGCATTGATTTCTAAGTTATTATATATCATTTGATTTGTTTTTTAGTGTAAAATATTGCTAATTGTATTAAACAAATTCTAATGTACTAATAGGCCCGTGCGAAAAAATCGCAAAGCATATTGTTAAGTGATCAAATGCCAAATTAATCAGAAAATAAAATAATGCAGCGTATCAAAAGATAAAGAAATCAATTGCGACTTTATCGATAAGTATAATCGACAAAGGAATGAAAAATTAATTTAAAACTTCTTTAATGTTTGGAACCAACATGTTTACAAATTTCAATAAGCTGTATCTTGGCTAATAATTGTCCTCCTAGAGCTCTCCTAATGAATTGTAATATACACCTTTATTGAAAGTGGGTAAAAATGATTTAATAAATTAATTTTGAACAATTAAAAGGCAAGCTAACCTTTTTTCTAGATACAATATTTCTTCCTTTGTGACACTGAACTCATTTGTCTTCAAACACTTTCCAATGTTCAGCCAAACAACTCTTCCAAATTGGTAACACTATTACTGGTTTTTTCCCACTGGAGCCAGGATCACTTCTCCTATCCTCTCTTCACTACAGCCACACAACAACTGTTGCCAAAACAAAAACCTTTGTCCCTCTCCTCTTTGGGATTTTCCTTTTTGGGAAACTACATGGCAGCCAGTTTCTTTTCCATGCACTAGTAGAACTAGATTAGCTTGCCTTTTAATTGTTCAACATTATTAAATAATTTTTACCCACTTTCAATAAAGGTGTATATTACAGAATATTAATCGAAAATTAGAAAAAATAAATAATAAAATGAAAAAAAAAAATATTGGAAAAATTCCTAATTGATTTCGATTTTTTTTTTCCTTTTGTAGGGAATTTAGTAATCCCTATATAATAATGGGCATAATTAAGGGAAAAGTGAATAATTTTTTAGTTATTCCCAAATAAAGTTTGTTTTCTTTCATAACTTGTTTGCTTAAATTTTTGGGGTGATTGGACTATTTTGACCGCCTGAAGTAGAAGGAAGCCTTCGAAAAGGGTGGCTCAATCTTGAGATTTGGTGAAGAATTAAAGATGATATGGCTTGCCGATCAAAAACACCATAAATAATATAAACTCTTCCTCTCTCGATCATAGAGGCCTCAAGTCGACGAAATGAGACATGTATTCAATGACAGTACTACAATTAACATAAGGTTGTGTGGATGCAAACCCTATGCCTTGGTTATCTCGAAAATACTACGTTTTTGGGCTTTAAAACGAAGGACCCGATAGTATCCGGGTCTTGCTGTACGCATCAAAATCTTCAAAGCCCAATTTGTCCCGTATCGATCTACAGACTTACCACCGTTCCAGTATTGAAGTCGAGCAAAATGTTTGTATTGACTTTTAATTTTAATTTTTCGATTGTTCAAAAAATTCGTATTTAAGGGTTGTGTCAGATGCAAAATACTAATACTAACTTTGTTTCTCACTAAAAATGTATTTACTCTAGATAGAAAAGGCCTAGTATTTTTGTAGGCCTCCTTTTTTTAGATTTTGTGATCAAATTATCTTACAATTCAAGTGGAAAGCAAATAGATATTTTTGAGTTTTTAGTACAATTATAATTAATTATATTAATTAATGTTATAAGAAATCACCCGATTTCTGAGAATTTTCTTAAATAAAATTTTGTACGATAAGATGAAGCTATTCATGAAGTTTCAGAGGATTTTAATAATTTGATATAAAGGGGTCTCTACCAGGACTATCCCCCCTAGGGTAGTCTTTGTAATAGTAAAAGAATGTTATTATTGAATGTTAACCTCTCATGTTCTGTTCAATTGTAAATATTTGTTGTCTTTTGTTTCAATTTGTTTTTTGTAATATGTTCAATTTGATTCTTTAAGACTTATAATCTATTATTCAATTGTTTATTAACACAAAAAAATACTGATGTGTTTGTTTTTTCTTTAAGTCAGGTAATCAGTGAAAGAAAATACAAGATAAGTGCCTCTTCACCTGGTACCTCTGCCAACATAGCCCAACAAGTAAGTTTTTGATCCTTTGGTCAAAATTCATCTTTAATATGGCTTTTCTAAATGATAGAATTTAAGATCTGTTGCTCATATCAGTGATTGAAATATATTGGCAATATCCTCAGGTACTAAAAATATTAAAATATGTTTAAATGACTAAATTGATTACTTCTTAAGCCTTTTTTTCACTAGAAGTCATCTTAGTTAACCTTCCTGATTTTTAATCTTCAAATTCAGGTTCACCTATTCTAATTTAGTCAGATTAAAAAAAAAAATAGTTTTGCATTCTCAACATAGTAAATACCTGTTATTGTAAAACTTCTATCAGGGTGTCCAATGTCCTTGAATCCTTATAAATTGAGACTTATGATTGAAAAACAATCAGCTATCGGGAATTTTTAAAATTTATAATACTTTTGGTCTGATTACATTTTTAATTTCACTTACCTATATATGAAATATACAGGAAAGGAAAGTATTGCGATCGTGAACATTTTCAAATCGCAGTTTTCAACGGAAATACACGTTTTGAGGTCTCCTGAGTCCAAATAACCAAGTCCCACAAAATGGTCTGTGTTAACAGTGTAGCTCAAAAATGAAAAGTCGTCTGAAATTAAAATTGCATTTTTAAGATTTATATGCTTGGGATGTTACAGCAACTTTTTTGTCAAAATCAGCTAACCAGAAGTGGTACTTTATGTAATTGATTTAACACATTTTACGATTTTCTCGAAAACGGATTTACCAATTAAATTCATTTTTATACAAGTACATTTTAATTAAATTCATTATTACAATGTAAATTTAAGCAGTTTTAATACAATGTAGGTTGTATACTCATTGATGTTCTCTAACAAGGCTTAAATGGCTAATATTTAATATTTCATCCTCTAAAGTACTTATAATATTTTTTTTTTGAAATAATTGAATTTCACATTAAACTCAGTTATAAAAAAAAGTTAAATATAAAATATGAAAGAATTTGATGATTAACTTAAGGAGAAATAAGATGTCATAATGGAGTATAGCTGTAATGGAGGAACCAAAGGAATACGAGCTCACCTGAAAGATTATTACAGGCCTCTATTGTTAATATGAGCTTAATATAATACAGACTCAGACAATATTATATACATGTTTATATATATATATATATATATATATATATATATATATATATATATATATATATATATATGCATATATACATTTTTGTTGGCATTACAGGCCATGTAGATCTTTTGCCACCTTAACAAGCCTGCTCCATCTCTGCCTGTCTTGGGCTATTTCTTTCCATTTATCTGCACCCAGCTCTGTTGCATTTTTGTTGATTGAGGCATTCATTGTTACGTAGAAGCTTCCAGATGGATTGCTACTAGCTACATGCCCCGCCCATCTTGACCTCCCTGCCTTTATAAGCAGTTCTTTATTGGTCTTTCTTCTCCATGTGTTAGTAGTCTGATCCCAGATTGCTCCGGTTAACGTGCGGAGGATTTTCCTTTCAAATCTTTCAACACTTTTTTAGGGTGCTGGTTAGTGTCCAGGTCTCACAGCCATATATTAGAACTGGTTTTATCATAGCATTGTACACCCTTAGTTTGAGATTTCAATACCTTTGAGAGGGAGAAGAAAGCTCTGTTTGCGCTAGTCATATACTGGTCTATTTCTGCCCGTTGGTCATTCATTGAGGCTATTGTGGAGCTGAGGTATTTGAATTTGTCTACTCTCGGTGCATCTTTTCCTTCTACGGTTGAGATTTTCCTTCTATGCAGATCCTGTTATTGGTGTGGAATTTTCGGCTTATGGAATTTACTAACTAACATTAACTACACTAAACATTGTTTAATTTTAAAATAAAGTCAAGTATGGATTGGCAAGCTAACCTTTTTTCTATATATACTGTTTCTTCCTTTGTTGCACTAAATTCATGTCTTCTAACATTTTCCTATGTTCTGCCGAACATATCTTCCAAAATGGTGGTACTTTCTTCTATTCAACTCAAGCTCCCTGGGAGATCCTCTCTTGTGATTCCAAACAACTAGTCTCCCTGCCTAACAACTTCTAAGATGGTAATCCTATTACTGGGTTTTACCCACTGCAGCCAGAATCCCTTCTCCCATCCTCTCTTCACCCCAGCCAAATACATTGCCAAAACAAAATTCTTTGTCCCCTCTCCTCTTTGGGATTTTCCTTTCTGGGTAAACTACAGAACAGTCATTTTCTTTTCCCTGAACTAGTGAAACTAGATTACTTTGCCTTTTAACTGTTCAACATTAATTTACTAAACCATTTTTACCAACTTCCAATAAAGATGTATATTACAATATATATATATATATATATATATATATATATATATATATATATATATATGGGATTTTCATAAATGCTATCAGTACTGTTTTTTTATTTTTTTTTTAATAATATTTGTCAAAGCAAGTCCTATTTAGCTAGTTATGCTTCCGATTGATTGATTGATTCTTAATTAATTCTATGATTCTGAAAAAGCAGTTATTTTATGGGAAATTTATAATGTTTATATTAAATCTTAAAGTTCTGTGTTAATGGTCTTAAATTTCGTAATGGCTATATTAACTTGGACTTATAACTGAAACTAATATAATAATTGGAAGGCAATGTGCCTTGGGTATTCCAAGCATTGGCATGTTGGACAGTAACCACTTTCAGCTAGACCCATAACATGTAGAGATTTATTTGTTCTACCGTGGTTAATTCTGAGCCTGGTCAGCTTCACTAAGGTAGGGCGGTCAAGGTAAATTAAGTGTCGACTACCATGGAGTCAAGGCTATCTTTGGATGAACTGCATGGTAGTCCTTACCCTTCGAGGCACTTTCCCAGTTGTAAAAATGCTACCATTTCTTCATTGTGTTTTCCCTCACTACTCTCATCAATTCCAATATGGAACTTTGACATTAATGCTATGAAACTAATTTTGATTCGCAGTTTTGCTTACCATCTCATTTCCCGATAAACCTACATGTCCCGGCACCCAATTAAAAAAAAAACAGTAATTATTGTTGGATTTGTGTAAAAGGGATACAATTTTAAAAGATGCGTGAGTTTGTACTTTATTTTGATGTATAAGTTCTAAGTGTTTACATACAGCTGCTGAGTCCGTCAGAATAACTATATTTTCGGTGTATATTATGGCGTATAGTTCGGTGTTGGAGATGCTAAATTCAATTAGTACTGATACAGAAAATTTCTGATTTCTTGGGGGGGGGGGGGGTTAAATACAGCTACAGATGTTCGATGTCTTGTTTTTGATGTGTCAGTATAGACTTGTTAGTAATTTGAGTATCATTCTGTGATTGTGTCATGTGCTAGTTGTTTCATATAAATAAATGGGTAGAAACTTTTCTTCTCCAATTTTACCAGCAAGATTGGGGGAACTCAATTAAAGATTTGGGAATGTGTTGCAAATTCAGAAGAGGTTGTAATTCCTTAGCAATGATGGATAGTTGGAGACAGAACAGCTTTCCACTTTTTATTGATTTGCCTACTGGATGTCTATTGTCGGAATAAACTTTGAGAATATATTTTTTAGTTAACCATGTCCTTCTAATGTGTAATGGCATTTCACTGGCAGATGCCTGAAGTGTGTTTACTTGAGACCTTTTAAAGGCACCAAAACATAATCTGATGGCATAGTTTTGAGTTGTATTCAATTTATTTATGAGTGGAGATTTCGTTTGATTGTATGCGACAGGAGTAATCTGAAGTTGATCTGACTATTGTTTTGTAGAGAGTGAGCATGTTTTGTGGGGGAGAACCCCAAGAAACTCCAGCAATAGATTTTAGTATGTTGATGTTGTGTAGCGGTTGTTTATGGATTCTTTTTATATGGTATTTAAAATTTAATTTGCTGTCTAGTATGACACCTAAAAACTTTACTTTTTCTTCACTTTTGACTATGTATTTTTCGTTTGAAATTGCAAAATCTTTATAATTAATCTTTCTTTTTCTGGTAAAAGGAATAATACTACACTTATTGGGCTAATTTTTAGGTTTAATATTAAAAATTTTGCTGTCAGGGTATCCATCTCTATTCTGCTGAATTTCCTTCAGTGTACACTAAAAAGTCATCTGCAAATTGGATAATTTTTCACTTATTGTACTGTTCGTTATATGTTCCATATAAAGATTGAAAAGGGTTGGACTCAGAGTATCTCCTTGAGATAGGCCATTGTATGTTTCAAAAGCTACTCGACCTTCCCAACTATCCAAAAAATATGTTTGATATGATATGATAAGTAATTTATTATCCATCGGGTTAGTTTCATAGGAATGCTTAGAGATTTTAATTTAGATAGCAGGTTTTGAATTTTTACATTATCATATGCTTTATCTACATCTACTGTTAATGCAACAAGGATCTTTCTTTCTTTGTAGGCTTTGTAAATGTCATTGGTTAGAACCCAGATAGCATCTGTGGTGGACCTATTTTTCGTAAAACCAAAGCAGAGAGGGCTCAAGATGTTGTTTGATTCTATAAACCATTCTAACCTCATCTTGACTATTTTATTGAACAGTTTCGTTAAGCATGAGATGAGAGCTATGTGATTTGAAGAGGATCTTTCCCAGGATTTAGAATTGGGAATATGAGTATATTGCGCCAGTCAGGAGTTATCAGCAGAAAGCAATCTTTGTTTGATTGAGGCCGGTAAAAGTTTGATCATTTGGTAATTGATTTCAACCATACCAGGGGTAGATCCATATTTTCCTTTCAGCGCCACTTCCAGCTCTGTTGGTTGTAAGGGTGGATCCAAAGGGTGGGCAACCTGCACTCTTGAGACACGAAGCAGTGGTTGTCTAGGAATAAAAATGTTGGACAATTGTTCGAGGAAAGCTGTGACGTGTATTCGATTTGTTAATATTATGTCTTGCATGTTCCGTTTTGCTCGTATGGTTTTAATTTTGTTCCACATAGAGCCAGTTTATTTTGGGTTGATGCTTTCAATGTAGTTTCTCCCAAGTTTCCCCTTTGGCCT